AATAGAAAGTTCAAAAGAACAGCATTTATTTGTAATAGAAATCTTAATATAAAATATCTAAACTGCCAATTTTGATCAATTTAATGCATCCGTCCTCATTGAATAAAAGTTAAATTAATTAAAAATTAAAATTAAAAATGAATCCAAAACTAATCCATAGTCAAACATTTCCTTTAGATATACAGGTCTGGATTAACTTTCCTACTGTCAGAACATAATTAGCTCTCCCATCGGCACTGATTTATTGCGTTATTGTATTTCATGGTGCAGTAAACAGGACAGAAATGCCGTACAGCATGTCTGCACAGGCTGGGCTCCAGCCACACGGTTTCAGTCGGCACGTAGTCTGTGGTCAGTCAAGTCAGGCTCTGTACACTTTGGTTAAAAAAAAAAATCAATCAACACACAGGAATAAGTCTGTATAAGGACTTGCACAGCCAGAATAAACATAAACAGTCATGTATCACTGCCCTGGATCAAAACCTCTATTTGTAAGCACATGACTCTAATTTAACAACAGGGCATAAAACCAAGACAGCAATGTTGGTTTGTGAGAAAAGGAGCATCGAAGAACAGATCCGATAATTTGGTCAACCATAATAATTCCATTTCACAGAAATATTATGCAAACTTCAAATATAAAACTAATCAGTAAACACTCAAATGAAGGCTAAAGTCCTAAAACAGAACAATCAATGGTAATCTGCCAAAGCTAACATGTGGTTTTATACATCTATAACAAACTTTACGAGCTGTCAACATTTTGCAGGTTTTTATTTTACACATAAAACTGATTTATTTATTTTTTTTGCAAGCAGCACCATATAGCAACAAAAGACGTCAACTAAAACAATAAAAAAAGCTTTTTGCTCTGAGTGATGAAAACTCAATTCAGATGATGATCCTTGTACAGTACATACAATCTTATCAAGATGGAAATCAGTTAAAGGGTTAGTTCACCCAAAAATGAAAATTCTGTCATTAATTACTCACCCTCATGTCGTTTCAAACCCGTAAGACCTTCGTTCATCTTCGGAACACAAATTAAGATATTTTTGATGGAATCTGAGAGCTGTCTGACCCTGCATAGACAGCAACGCAACTGAAACGTTCCCAAGTCCAGAACCGTAGCAAGGAGATCTGTAAAATAATCTTTTGAATGAAAACAACATATCCACGTGACGCAGCTGACACAGAATTGCATACGCTGTTTACGTCCAGCAGATATTCTCCAAAATGACACCAGGGAGATGCGTAGGAGACGAATTGTTGAATAAAATCATTTTTTTCTTTTTTCTTTTGCGCACAAAAAGTATTCTCGTAGCTTCGTATAATTGCAGATGAACCACTGATGTCACATGGATTATTTTACAGATCTCCTTGCTACGTTTCTGGACTTGGGAACATTTCAGTTGCGTTGCTGTCTATGCAGGGTCAGACAGTTCTCAGATTCCATCAAAAATATCTTAATTTGTGTTCCGAAGATGAACAAAGGTCTTATGGGTTTGAAACGACATGAGGGCGAGTAATTAATGACAGAATTTTCATTTTTGGGTGAACTAACCTTTAACACGTTTTATGTCAGAACAAACAACTAAATGTCATAGACAAGCTGAAGCAAGACGGAGCATCCAATTTCAAGCCCCCAGGCGACCACATCAGATTACACAATAATACAGTCTCAGCCAGTGGTCACAGCGGGACAAACTCGTACAGAATGATTATCACTGAAACCTACCATAACCCCTTCTAAAAATACACAGAAAGAGCACATCCATCACATTTATGATGACACTGGAGACTTATTTTAGGGCTGCACGATAAATCGCATGCATTTATCATGCGCATCTCATCAGTAAAGCCGGTTCTGTGATTAGTAGTAAATCTCCAGCACGTGCTTTCAGATTTACTACACAGAGCCGTAGTTAACTGACAAGCTACGCAAACAGCTTTCATTATCGCATGCGATACATCGCTGATAATGAACACGATATTGCGTAGCTGCGTACCCTTTTTAACAGGATTTTTTAGGATTTGCATATTCTGTTTTCTGACTTCTATTTTAAGTCCTCAAATTCATCTGAGATATACCTATTTTTAGGGATGCACCGATATCGATACTGGTATCGGTATCGGGCCCGATACTGGTCTCCTGTACTCGTACTCGTTAAAATGCCCCGATACCAAACGCCGATACCACACAGCATGTGATAAGCGCCATATTCAAACAAAGAAACACCGACAACAGAACAACAGACAGCAGAAAGGAGTTAAGGATGTCTACTACGAAGTATATGTATGCAATGAATATAATGTTAAACATTCAGTATTAACGCCTGTATAGCTGATGTGCGCGAGCTGAAAAACAAAGCACGCTGAGTGGATTGAGTGCGCGGCGTCACAGATGCGCGAGCTTGTCGAGTGAATATATCTTTCTCACAGACATCACTGGAAAGTTTGTAGTTCGGTCAGATATGTCAAAAACAAGTAAGTAAAACAATGCACAAGTTAAACACTATAGTTCATTTATGTAAGTGAGGATAGCAAAATAAAGTAAACTGTGACAAATTATACCCCAAAATTCTTCATACAGTGGACTACCAATAAAACGGATACAAATTTGGGTCCAAAAATTATTCAGACCGAGTCTGGGGATTGAAAGTTGAAGTTCAGGTTTGCATGAAGCTGGATGACAGCATGCCCAGGAGACTATATGCTGTCATTAAGACTAAGGGCTGCCCGACTAAGTATTGATAGTTGTGTAAATACTACACACCCTTTTGGTTTCTGTACCCAATATTTAAAAAATGTACAAATGCAATAAAAATATCGGTATCGGTACTCTACTCTGTATCGGCAAGTATCAAAAATAAAAGTATCGGTATCAGGTGAGTACTGGAAAAAGTGGTATCGGTGCATCCCTACCTATTTTTGACAATGAATACTTAAAGGTGCAGTAGGAGATCTTGTAAAATGCTAACTTTAGCCTTATAGCACTAAAAGCGAACGTCCAACCCTCCCTGCAATCGCCGTCCAAAGCCACGCCCCCTGAACACATGAACGCACACACAGACGAGACGACCAGAGACAACATTACTACAATACATCATGTGTTATCAACCAGTGAGAAAACTTTATAGTACAGTTAGTAAAAGTACTATAATACCAGGAAGGAAGGTCAGGTTGTTGATGTTTGCCTGCCATTCTCGCTCTGTTTGCACAGCGTACGTGAATGCGCTGATGACGTATCCTGTCTGCGCGAACAGGGTGCGCAGAGGTATGCAAATACATATGTTGACAGGCAGGTAGGAAAGCCAATCAAAACGCTCGGTCCGAGCGTACATTATAATGTACATTATAATAATTTGTACATTATAATGTTGTGATTGCTAAATTTACTAGTAGCATTTAAAAAGACTGATTTCAGTTTTATTAGGTTTTTATTTTATTTTTTTATTTTTTAAAAACAATACTGAATGTAATAAATAAATATTAATAAATATTTTACATAATATTAAACAAAATTCTATGTACGCTACAATTCAAATTTTGTGGTCGGTACGATTACTCCAGTCTTCAGTGTCTCATGATTCTTCAGAAATCATTTTAATATGCTGATTTGGTTCTTAAGAAACATTTGCTATTATCAATACTGAAAAAGGTTTAGCTGCTTAATATCTTTGTGTAAGCAACAACATTTATTTGAAATAGAAATCTTTTGTAACATTACAGATGTTTTTACTTTAATTTTGGACTAATTTAATGCATCCATGCTGAATAAAAGTATTTGTTTTTTTGCAAAACTGACCCCAATATTTTGAATGACCATGTAACGCAGTGAAAGTGACATCTTAAGGCCGGGACACACCAAGCCGACGGTCGGGCTAGTTTGTTTGGTGTGTTCCACTCGTCGGGCTCACGTTGGCGGCAGTTTGCCCGATTCAACATGTTGCTCGGATTCGATGTTCAGTTTAGCGAACGAGTCAGTGCCCGAGAATTAAAGCGAAAGTGATGAAAACAAGCACGTAAATGAAGGTGGTACAGACAGAAGGCTGTTTAAATGTTACGTGATCTTTCCCAATCATTCTTATATGCGAATGTTTTCATAACAACATGAGCCGCTTAAAATGATTGAAGTTATCAACGTTACTGATATTCAAAATGGTAAGCAAGCACTGCTTTGTTTATGTTTCGTATATCTGCGTTTATCTCGTATATCTTTGTTTCGGTTTCTCCTTTTGAATGATGAACATATACTATTGATAACTGCTGATATAGACAGTTAATTCCTCTCACGCATGCGCAGAACGCACGTGTTAGTTTGCAGTTGGCTGTAGTCTGTGCGGTGTGTTCACGTGCAGCTTTCTGGTACGACGCTGCACGCGAGGTGACAACACCGTTGGCTTTTGTCGCCGCTAGTTCTTTGAAGTCGGCTTGGTGTGTCCCGGCCTTAACAT